AGGTTTAACAGTTCTGCAGTGTCCTCTTCCTTGTCTTCTGAACCGTTGTTTAATTTACCTTATCTGTATGTGGGCTCATGAAATTAAAAGTCAACACTTCTAGATCAGTAAAATGAGCAAACCTTCATGTAAATAGATAGCTGAAATTAATTTTCAAAAGTATTGGTTAGAATTTTGTCCGATTTATCAAAAATTATAGATACTTGTGAGTAAAGAAAGGACACAACTAACAAATTTGCTGAAAAATGTGAGCTGCTGACTTCCTGGAAGTAAAAAAACCCAAAACAAAACCAAACCTTTTCCTCTGGATAGATTTCCCCACAAGTTTTTGAAGTTCATTTTGCTGCATGATACCAGTCACTATCAGTTACTGGACTGAGCCATGAACTGATCTCCTGTGTCAGTTGCTGTTGTGTTCTTAAATGGTTTTCTGGTAGAAAAATGGGCAAAGTGAGTCATGAACTGGGATAAACTGGAGGAAGAGGATTGTCCATGTCCCACAGATGCAATCTTAGTGTAGGGGGGCGTTAGTACAGGGGCCTTGGAGGTTGCATGCCTGAGTGGTGCCAATGTACACAGGAGGTAATGACCCAAGGATGATACTGGAGCTGGCTTAGAAATGGCCTGTTTGGTCCCGAGCCTCAAATAATTAAGTGGAAAAAAAGCTTCTACTGCTCCAAAGAGCTTTTATATAGAAGCATGGGACACCGAAATATTCTTAATTAGAATTCAGCAGGTATTGGTAATATTGTAAATGTTATTTCAGTAAAATAAGCATCCAGCATTAGTAGTTGCAGCATTTCTTAGAGGACCTTGAACCCTAAATTGTGTTTTGAATGACACTAAGCAACGTTCCTTTTGTGGCGTGAACTTTTCCATGCGTGTTTTTAGTCCTTTTTAATGGTGATGCATTTGGAGTCTGTTTGCATTCCTGTCATCCAAACAAGCCACTTCTGCTTTATGAAAAGGCAGGCTAATTAAGTCAGCCCAGTAGGCCTGCCTACTGTTGTGGTCAAAGAGTGACTCAGTTGGTTTTCCAGGCTCTTTGGATGGCAAACCACTGACACTTTCAATGGCTGAGGAGTTTAAATTTAAACATGAGTAACTCACTAGAGATAAGTTTGACAAGCCACCTCCTTTTGCCATATTAATTTTCTAGAAGTTTTGTCTCTATCCAAATAAAGCTCAACAGGGTTTTTTCTGATGAATATTCTCTAAATTGGATATGAGCTATCCTGGCTGAGTTTACCTTTCTCATTAAAATACCAGGCTGTCTTGGAAAGACGTTTCTGGACTCTGGAAGTGGCACATGTAATCCTTAAAACTAGTTCCAACATGGAATATATCCTTGACAACTCAGTTGGGAGATGCAGTGTGTATTGCTTTTGTAGTCTCTGCTTGTTTACTCTAAAGGCCAAAACCTAATTGGCCTCAGTGACTTTTGTGGAAGAGAACTATTCACAAATGCCCAAACCGCGTTTGGTTTCCTGCCATGAGTAATCAGGCTGCTTTGCAGTCATTAGTTACAGCCCCACACAGGCTGAGCCATACAGGGCTGAACCCTTTCAGAAGGCTCCTGCAGTCCTTGGAGTTTAGTGGGCAACATCCATTTTTACTGGGAGAGAAATTTCACAGGGGATTGGCAGAATCCCTTTGGACGAATGATGGGCAATCAGCAGCACAATGGGATGAAAGCCGACTGCTTGAAATACAGGAACAAGTAGCATGTGATAGGAAATGGGACACGTCCTCATTCTTCTACCAGTACTTTGAGGCCGAAATTTGTCCATGAACTCTTTTGTAAGGAAAAAAAAAAAAAATCACTTACAAAGCAAATGTGAAAGTTCCTTCATACCAGCTTTTGAAAATCTTTTAATAAAAGTTCTTTCCTTTTCTATTCATGCTAGGGTGGCTATCTCCACCGAAGTGGCTTTTGAGCTGCCTCTCCTCACCTCATTTTCCACATTTTGGCTTTCTGAGTCTTATTGCAGATTTTCTGGGTTTCAGTAATTTCTACAGGCTCCTTTATTCTTAGCATCTTGTGGCACTGACTTGCAATTCTGTTAGCTTAGAATGGTCTTCATTTCTTTAACTGGCAAAACTCTAGTGAGGGAAATTTATAGCATATTTTATGGTGCATTCAAAACCTCCAAACAAAACATCTGGTTTCCAGGGCAGAGAATTAAGATTATGCCTGCATTTGAAAAGCTAGGCAACAGATAGTTCTGGAAAGAAAAGGCATCCCTGTGTTTTGGACATGCACAGTGACATTGTCACTCATCCAGAACATCTGTTCTAACCGATTTCCTCTCCCAGCTGCTGGACTTTTGTCACATTATACCCAAGCAGAGTGAAAACTACCTCCATCGGCCCCAATGTCCATTTAAAAAACTCCTAGTCCAGTAACGATGGGCCCATATTAAATATAATCCTGTTTACCAAAGATACCAAATTAAATTATACCATGTATAACACTTAACTAGGCATTCTTAAAGCTCCTGTTTTATTGCAGAAAAAAAGTTTGTAATCTGCCAAAATGCCTTTATTACACTAGAATAGGTCCATGAAAGCTAGAGATTTTGTAAAGCAACATACTGTCATTTGATGAGCTGCTTTACTAATTACTTGGGGGGGGGGTGTGGTGTGAGGAAGAGTAGACTTGATGTATTTGTGCAGCTTAAATGGGTAGGTTGGGTTTAAAACATCACTGAAAAGCTATTCTCGTGTTTCCCTGGAAGGTGGGTGCAAAGGTGTTTGCTTCGTGTCAGTAGAGCGTGGCATCAGCCGATGCAAAGAGGACAGAGATACCTGCTGCAGGCAAGCAGAGATCCACATATACACATTTTTTGAGATACACATGGGAGATACACATGTATACAAATTTTTTTTTTTTATGAGATACACATGGGTGAACAGCCTCTATGTGCCACTGGAAGTGGTGTGTGCTGCTTAAGAGGGATTAAAAAAAAGCTGTGAAAGAATGAAAATCTTCCAGGATCACCGATTTTGGTTAGCTGTGTTGGTAATCTCTTCCATGTTTATATGAACACGCTGGTGCTCTGAGAATCCAAAGTTCAGAACCAAGGTTTGTTTGGTGTTGACTCAGTATCGCCATCCCCCACCCCAAGGTGACATGGATAGTCTTATTGCAGACTAGTTTCTGGCTGAAGACAGATTACTCTGAAAACCATTGTTACCCAAAATAAAAAGTCAGACTTTAACCTGGAAAAAAAACAACTGTGGATGTGGCTTTTTTCAGAAACCCAGACAGGAGATTCCCTCCCAGGTTTCTGTTTCCAAGGTCAGATTTCTCTCTCCTCACTGCTGCAAGTAATCCCTGATTTCAAGCTCTCCTCTGTGCTGCCACGTGCACCATGCTCCTTCACCACTTAGATCTCTGACTTTGTGATTAGTTGCAAAAATCATTGCACCTTTCCATGGCAACCTTGGCCATGGGGTTTTCCTGCCTTTTTATTGGTAAGGTACAGATAATTTCAAACTCTCATCCAGACTATTTGGGGAACAGCTTGTTCCAGCATCTCCAGGAACTGCTTCTCAGTACCTTTAAAATATGACTTAAGATCTTTGCAAACCCATACACTTTATTTTTTATTTTTTTAATCTTCTGCTGCCCAAGGAAATTCTAGATGACTTTTTTAGCCAATTTTATATATAATTGACCTGTCTTTTAAAGCGTCCATGAGCTTGTCCTGCTTGAACAAGATATTGTGCCCTTTCCAGCGAGGTGTAGATGGGATGCTCTGCTACTAGCAGTAACTCAGCTCCACCAGGTGGCTGTCATGCTATGAGAGCATGCCCGGTGAAGGGCAGTGTTCAACCTTATCAAAGCACTGCCTTGGATTTTAATTGTCAAACTCCTACATGGAATTTAATGGGAATTACAACTGAATTGTAGTAACTTGGTTTATTTCCTCATTAGTTACCTTCAGGTTTTTGTCACAGTCAAACAGTTCTTTACATCTGAATGAGCATGCAAGGTTTGTTTCAGCTGTAATAAAGTCTAGGTATTCTCTCCGTGCATCCTGTTTACAGGTGGGGAGTTTGAGGCTAACACTTTACAAGGCTTTTCCGGGAATAAAGGAAAAGCTTCTGTACCCTATTTTATTTTGAAAGCTAGAAACTAAACTCTTTTGAAAGCTGAATAACAAGGACAGAGTAACAAATTGAGTTTGAATTTTTAAAGAACTTAAATATATGCTCTTCTATTATAGCAAATAAAGGTGGCTCTGTATTGGCCTTGGACCAAGCTTCTTTAGACAAATTATTACCTTGATGCTGGTTTTATCGCCTGTCTCATTCATTCTCTTTTACACAGGTATCACAGGAAAAGATGACCTTACTGTGAGTGCAACTGCCAGTGGAAGAGTGAATTTTTACCCCTGGACAATAGATAATAAATATTACTCTGCAGATATTCACCTCTGTGTAGTACCAAACACATTACTTGTTACCGGAGATATTGCTGAGTCTGTGCAAGCATTTGTTGTGTACTTCGACAGTACAATAGTAAGACTCTTCTGCATCATTATATTGCCTTATCTGTATGATATCAGTGCCTTATCACAGCGATAACCACAAGCTATGTTCTCTTCATCTTCTGCCATCCATTCCTTTTGGGCTGTTCTATTAATTGGCAGGAGATCAATATTAAATTATGCCTGTTAACGATGGAAGCAGTTTCCTTCCCTTTTAATATTATACTCCAGCTGAAAGAGAGATTTTCAGGATGCAAATATGCCTCTAAGTCAGGCAAACCCTCCTCCAGGCCACCGCCTCCGACTTTACTCCTACCTGATGCTAGTTCAGAAAGGCTGCTTTAGGACAGCCCAGAATGGGGGAGCTAAACGCAAGATTCAGCGCTGTAATTTTACCTGAAATTGTTTCTGCCAAGCTGACAGCAGAGAAAGTGGGGCTTAGCACAAGCCAGAAAGATTCAGAGACAAAAAAACCCCAATATTCACTTTGTTCTAATACTGTTAATGATTTAAAAGTAGTTTAAAAACTGAAGTATTTGGGGATGTATTCCGAAGAACTCTTTCTTTTTCCCTCCCCGCTTTAGAAATCTGGACTTGACAGTGTCTCTGAATGGCTCCCCCTGACAGAAGAGTGGTTACCAGAAGTCATGATCCTGGTTTGTAACAGAGTGTCCGAAAACGGTATGAAACCCCAAGAAGTTCCATACTGACTTGGAGTTGCTAACCTTGCGTAATAATTTATTTTCTGGTTAAATCAGCACAATTGTTTCTCAAACTATCGGTTTCAGACTGGGCTTGGGCTTTGATTGAGAAGAGCCAGGTTACTCTCGTGACCAGGAGCAGAAGTCTTAAGCTAGTTGTGGTTAAAACCATATCGGAACTTTACAGCCTGGCTTAAAGCGAGCTCTGTGTGTCCCACTCTTAGTGTGCCAGCACACACTGCAAGGTGACTACAAAGGCATTCCTATTACTGGCTGTGCATCATCCTCTCCGATGAAGATGAGGATGACTGTTGGTTTCTTAGCTACAGTGGAAAGTTCTTTCACCTTTTTTGACCACGTGGATATGAGATAGGCATGTTTGCTTTCGTTCTAGATTAGTATGTGCAATCCAACAGCAGGCTGTAAGGTGCAGAGTATCTGAGTTCATATCCAAACCTAGAGTTAACAGAAGTCCTCATTCACTGTGGCACTTCACTTGCATTTCCCTGCAAGTGCCCACTGCAAAACCATTTGATTTCATGACTTTTGGGAAAAAAAAAAGGAGTTTGAGAGGTTTTGGAATCAAATTCAAAGTGAATGGAGGACCCACACTAGCTATTTTTCCCCATACAATCCAGAATAAGCAAGCAACTTTGAGGGAATAAAATGTAGCAGAGAGTCAGCTGCTGATATTGGTCTCAGATGTGTGTGTTTAGTACCTGTTTTTGTCTCCCCACTTTAGGTGTTAGCAGACAGAAGGCTCAAGAGTGGTGCATCAAGCATGGCTTTGAACTGGTAGAACTGAGCCCTGAGGAACTGCCTGACGAAGATGGTAGGACTGCTACTTCTGCTTTAGTTTTCAGAATGAAAGAGCACACCAAAATATCTTGTAAAGAATTGCAAGGGGCATAACTTGATGGGCGACATGATTACAGCATGGAATGCTCCCAGTTGCGGAGGCTTAGTCTCATCTATAAAAGGTCAGGAGGAGGAGGTTGTTTCCTCCAAGAAATTCCATTTGTCTCCTCCCAAATACAGCTGCTGTTTATATAGCACCTACATAAAAATAATATCTGATCCTTTTTCTGGCGCTAGTCCTAGGACTGTATTGATAGATTAGAAACATTTATATTCCACTTTGGAAAGAAACCTACAAAACAAGAACCAGAAAGATGCACAAGGGAAGAAAATTCTTTGCCTTTTTTTAAAAAGACCTCAAAAACTATTGTACGTACCAAAAGAAGGTAGACATTATTCAAACAGTGACACGATAGGCTGGAAAGGACAGATCGTTAAAAACATTTCCGAATAGCGTGTGCTGTTACACAGGAAATAAACCAGTTTCAAAATCACTGGCTGACCATATGTTTAACTTGAAAAAAAACCCATTAAGCGAAGTCAGAAGTGTGATGTTCCACTCCTGAAGTGTGACTGTGCACTTCCTGACAGCCTTATCAGCCTCAGCCTTACCTCCTCAGCTCAGCCATACAAAGAAATGTGTTTACATCTGACCTCTGTAGAGCCAAAATTAGATAACCAGCTCCATTTCCAGGCGTGAGTGGAATTGGTTGCTAACCTTTGCTCCATCTGGGGTTCACCAAGTACATCGCTGTCACCAAAAATAATTTTAGGCTAAAGGTCTTCTAAGGTAGAACTCAGGTTCCTGCCCCTGCCCCCTTTAAAGGCCTAGCCTGAAATTGCATCTGGAGTAGCTAAGAGCCCCCCTCCTCCCACTGCCATGTCTTTCAAGATGCATTTCTTTGTGGCACTTGGTTAGGCAGGGAGGGAGGGATACACAAATTTCCAATTTATAGAAGCCAGAAAAATGGGAGTTTTGTACCCCTTAGAATAAAGTTCTCTCATTAAGTGCTTTAAGAGGAAGTACTAGTAACAAAGTCAAGGTGGTTTTCTTTACTATGGAATAATTGTAAAGAACAAGCTATGCACTATTTAAATAATCCAAGTAACGGGAATAACAACAACTCAGGATGTTACTCTTCGGAGTATTAAGGTACATGTTCTTTCCTGGGGTTTTTAATACGGTAGTTGGTTCACTGTGACTCATGCACAGGAGGAAGTGTATTCCAGTGAGCAAGGTATTCACGCCATAAACATGCCCTGTGAATTACTTACACAAGATAAAATGGATGCAGCAAACATACTGGGCCAATACCCATTTAAAAATGACGACATTCCTGGCAGCTCATCACAAGTGAGCTGGAGCTCTCGCTGTGGCTGCAGGGTCGGTCAGCTGTTGGTGCGTCAAGGACGAGAGCTCTAGGCTGAGACTGTTGGTGAGGGCTCCGATACAAAACCAAACAGCGTCAGAGAGGGCAAAATATTTGCTCTAAGGGGTCATAGACAGCTTTGGATTCATTTTTAAAGGCAGTTTCAATGAGCCCACCTGTCCCTGAGTCACCCTGGAAGAGTTTGGTTTGTAAGCAGCCACATTTTTGTAGCCCAAAGGTTGTTGGTTCCCCCCCGCCCGTTGCTTTGTGAGACCTGCACAAACAAGGGAAGCTGACTAAACTGAGGAAGTGGGAAACCTGACTTTATACAAAGTGGTGTCCGATCTGCTCAGTAAATAAGGTGAAGTCCCAATAATGCTTTCCATAGTCTTTCCAGTTACTGGAAGTCAGAGGATTACTGGAACATGTGGAGTTAGATGCTGCGGAGATAGCTTTACAATGATCATTTTCATTTTTAAACAAGCATCAGAGCTCTTTGAGTGGTTGTCTGAAGTTCTTTACTTCCTAAAAGAAGGCAAAGCGGTTCTAGCATCTCTCTGTATGCCCTACAGCACTCTGAAAAGAGCTTGGGGTAAGAGATGCTTTGCTTTCAACAGCAACTTAAAAATTGTCCATTACTATTACATGTACTAGCGCGTTCCTTAACAACGTAGGCCTCGTGCTAGATATTTAACAAAACCCCACTCAGGATTTAGATCTCTCTACAAAGGCTGAGGGCTCAGAGTTCGTCATACCTGGAAGCCTAGGCCAAGAAGTGAGGCAGGAACTGAGATTTGCTTGGCCTCTCGTGAAGCAAAGGCAAGAAATCTGTGTTTCCTAACAAGGGAAGTCACATATACCCATTGCTGTAAGACAGGACAGGCGGTCAGACACACCCCCCCCTTCCTGCTTTCAGGCAGGTCAGAGTTTTTGGTCCAATAACATCTCTGTCTTTCGGTTTAGATGATTTTCCAGAGTCCACTGGAGTGAAACGAATTGTCCAAGCCTTGAATGCCAACGTGTGGTCCAACGTGGTCATGAAG